GAACCTCCCTCAAAACCGTAAAAATCCTATATATAGATCAACTATAACCCTAAACAAGCCTCTCTGACTTTTTGGAGATAAAAACAAGAACTCCTTCTGTTCTAAATTTCGATTAATGGAGCAAAAAATCCAGGACATTATTTCCTCACACAGATATGCACAATAAAGGGGAAATTCAAACAGACAGAAAGCAAAAAATTAGAAGGAAATAAAATCGAAAACCAACTAAAAATCCGGTAAATACCCTGCACAGATTAATTTTTTTTCCCCCCAGTTGAAAGCACATGATACTTTTACAATTCTCAGAGGGCATGGAATCTATAGTTCACAAATGTAAATAATTCCGAAAGATGTGTATTAGAAAGAACAGATGATGAGGGAAATCAATTATATGATAAGAATTCCAAGATTTCATTTCACAAAGAACTCAGGCTGTCCTTCAATTGCATGTGAGTTGCTGAATCAATAGACGAAAATGGAAGGTACCTCTTTTGATCGTCGTGACGGCGACAAACGAAGAAGGAAGGGTGGAATCGGCAAGACGTGGAAGTGTTGGAAGTGGGATCGTAAGATTGATTGCATCTTTTGCAGAGCTTCGGCTGATATCGCTTTTCCTCACTCTTCTCCATGTTCCAGGTTGGACGCTCGCCACTCTCCGCGGGAGAAGCCAAATTCTCAGTATAGTTTTTACAGGGGAAAATTAAAATTTATTGTCCAAAATATCTAAATTTTTGTAGTAAATCCATAATCACCAGTGATTTTTAGGATTAGTTCTTCAGCAAATTTATGTTTTATGTTTTGAAATTTTTCTGTAATTTTTCAGCTTACCAGCTGTTATGATGTTGTAAGTTGTAGGGACAAGTGATTGATATTAGGCTTATTTGGAATAGTTTATAAATAATTTTTTAATAATAATTTATAAAGTACGAGACAAATACATGAGAGAAGTTTTGTTTTGATTTACGTGAAACATGTTTATAAGAGATTTTCACCCATGTTCCAAAACAGGCACATTTTTCCATCTCTAACATATAAAGGATTACATTGAGTAAAATTGGACTAACCCATAATTTTATGAGTAAAATATATTGACTATTTCTCTATTTTACTTAAATTACAGAAACTTACTTTCTATTTTGAAAACATATATAAACTTTCTTTTAAATTGAAATATATGTTACACAAACTTTCTTTATATTTTTAAGATTTAATTTTTACCCATCTAAACGTTAGTTGACCATTAAGTTTAAATTTTTATTTTGACCAAAATATCCTTCTTTAAACATTTATACCTATAAAAAAAAATTTGATGCAATAAAAATAATTATAATACATGTATTTTCAAAATTTTTAATATGTTATAAAATTTTTAATTTCACTTATATTATAGAATTATATAATTTTAGTTTCTCATGAAATATTAAAACTTGAGATTTTTTTTAAATGGCTAGAAATTATTTTAAATGCTTATTTCTTATTACATAATATAAATTATTCGAGTTTGGAAACTTATATAAATAATTTAAATTTATGTTTGCATTAATTAAATTACTTAATTTTTTGGCCCAATACGATAAAAATATTAAACAAACAACAATTTTCAAAAATAAAAAAGGTAAAATTAAGGTAAATGAGAAAATCTTAAATTCTTCGATATAGTTTTAATCAAGATTTTGGGATTTAATATTATGCAGAGTAATTTGGCAAATAGAAAGTATTTCAATATAAATTTGAATTAAAAAGCATCTTTTTATAATATTCTTAATAGAGTTAACAGTTTAGATTTAAGTGTATGTTTTTAAAATAGAAAGGAGGTCTGTATAATTAAGACAAAATGGAAGGGAGGTCAGAGTATTTTACTCTAATTTTATTTAATGCCTTATAAAAGAAAGTCTAAATATGCTCACCCCTCATACATATTTATTTTATCTTTTTACTTAGAAGATACAAGCTTTTATAGATTAATAAGATTAAGAAAAATACTCAAGTCATAAAACATATGACTTTATGTATTATTAGAAAACTTGACATAATTAATATAAGAAGCTTTATATAAGTATTGTTCTAAAATTAAAATTAAATATTTATTATTAAATATATTAATTAAATATTAATAAAAATATTAATTAAATATTAATAAAAACTAACTGGGTGTTAAGTTTAATTCTAAATATAAGATTTTAATTCCCTTTATCTTTTATATTATTTTTTAAAATTAATTTATCTAATTTATAAACTGATATATAAATTATAAAATATTTTAAGAAAATCATATTACATATATTATAATTAACTAATTTATTTAATTTTTTAAAAAATGTATTACTCAAATTACTGAAACAACTTTTATATTAAAATACGGAGGGAGTCCTAAAACATCGCAAACAATTATATTTACATAACGTCGCTTCAAGTAACTTTTATGAACCCTGTATAAAGAGTACATTGTAAAATACTGCGTTGGCGCGGGTAAAAAAAAAAAAAAAAACTGTGTTGACATCCGATTTGTGAAAATTTAACCTTTTTTTTTTGTCTAGATTCGTGTGCATCGACATGATCATCACTGCGGCTTTTTTAAATTCCCATGCTTCAAGCGTAACTTCATCTTCGCTCGGAAAAGGGATAATTAATTCAAAGGTCCTTATAATTTGACTTGATTGTGAACCGCGCCCCTGAACTTGTTTTTCATTTTATTACATCTTTTTACATATGTCAGTCCTTGCAGTTAAATACTGAGTAACACCATTTTCATTAGCCCATTAAGCATTAAGTCTGACTGAACGCTCTTTCCCTCCCCTTCTCTCAATGCTCAACATCAAGTCCGTTTGGATCAGCAATTAAAAAAGTAACTTTTAAAAAAAAAGTTGAATAAAAACTAAATTGAATAAACTGAATTGTATTTGGATTAAAGTTCAGAAAAAACTAATTTGTAAAAATGAGATTGATAAAAAATTATTTGGACTATAATTGAATAAAAGTAAACTTGTTTATAAAATTATAAAAATGGCTATAAAATTTAGTAAATAATGAAAAATTATTAAAAAATAATTTTACCTAATTATTTATAAGCTCTTGTTGATATCATCTATTTTCTTTTATTTTTTATTATTTATTATAAGGATATATTTGAAAATAAAAATATATTTATAAGAGCATATTTGAAAACAAAAGTATATTTCTAACTTATTTATTACTTTCAACTAATTTTAACTGATTTTTTTATCTACAAATTAGTTATTTAAAGCTTATAATAAGAAGTAAATAAGGTACTACATTTCTTAGCTTTCTCTCTCTCCATGTTTCAAAAGCTATAATCCATAAGCTATAAGTCATAAGTTGTTAATTTTAGCTTATAGTTTATTGTAGCTTTTCATATAAAAACCAGATTGCTCAATTGCCAAGCCAAACAATACAAATTCTTCGATCGGGCTTATGCTTTAAAAAAAGCTGTTTATTGCCCTCCAAACGCTTGGCCAAACAGGCTGATCATCTCCTTCCACACCATACTCCTGATTGTAAATGCTAATGCACAATTGCTTCGAGGAGCTGCTTCACAGTGGAAGCGACCCCGGTCTCTAGCAAGGGACGGTCGATGATGTGGTCAAAGAGATTTAGGAGCTAGCAGAAGGAAATCGCCATTGTTGAAGATGTCAAAAATCTGAGGAATATGAGGGTATGGGGAAGAGAGCCATGTGGTTGGGTTCATTTTGGAGGTAGTCGCAATGGAGGGAATCGGTGAGAAGGCACTCCTCGATGACTTTGCAGGCAAAGAAGTCATTAGAGACGGGGTAGAAGAAGTGGAAGACGGTGCCGTGCATAACTGTAACTGTCCTTTGAGTACTTAAGAGTGATTAGCACTTTTGTTAAGTAAAAAACTATGTTCGGCTGTGTTTCAAACACAAAAAATAGAGGCCCTCAAAACTTCAATGGAACACCAATAGTTCTCACTTAAGAGTGATGAGTGTGTAACTAGCAAGTGAATAGCTCTAACTAGCAAGTCACGAATTCGATAGGGTACAGTTGTGTTGACCTCACCAAGATCTCTCTCTAATAAGTGGGGAGCTTTGCATGAATTTTTTTTGTGCAAAGGATAGAGTATCAAAAGATTTTTACTCGACAGAAAATAAAAGCAATAAACCAGTATTGAAAAACAAAAGCAAGTAAAAGTGACATCCCTTAAAGTCTTCTAAACTCCATCCATCATTATATTTTAGCCAGAAAAAAAAAGTCAGAGAGGGTCCTAACTTTGCAACCGAGGAAGGAAAGGTTTTTATGGAGAGGTTGGATGGGGATCGGAAGAATGATGGTGAAGGAACTGAAGGTGAAGGAAAGAGCAGATCTTCATCAAACATGTTTGGCTAGTGAAAATTTTTAACGGTGTTAATCAAATCTAACGGTAAGGACTGAGGAATATAGCTATAAAAAGTTAAAGGAGCCAATAAAAAGAAAAAAAACTCTAGAGACCTGATTCAAACTTGAACAAAACTATAAGGACCTTCAAATTAATTTTCCCTTCGGAAAATATTAACATCATGTCTGCTCCAATATCAATTCATTCGCTAATGAGAAATTACACAATTGGAAAGCTAATGCAGCCATGAATCAAATGTTCATTTGTGCTGGGATAACCATAGTTGAATTAATAAAACCAGGACCCTTTTCACCCAAAAGGAAAAAAAAAAAAAAAAGAACCAGGATCTTGAGGATTTAGTACCCTTTTGTCTACAATTACACATCAGAGACCGTGACTTCCCGGTCAGTTATGTGGGATCGCTTCAGCTCGTTCTCAACTAAAAGATAGATAAATCAATAAACAAAACCGAAGTCAATGGCAAGTTGCCCTAGTTGCAGAACAACCTATCATGCTTAGATGAGATCGTAGGCTTGGGCTTGGTGCTGGAGTTGACATGTTTTTGTGTATTTGTGTGTTTAATTGTATAAAATTCCTCCCGGGACAAACAAAAACAAAGTAAAATTGGTCATTGCCTTGACCTACACAATTGACATGCAATGGCTTCGCTTATAATGCTTATTCACTCTATATAACAGACAGTCACCCAGTAATATCAGATTTATCAACAAGTACTCATTTGCACAATCCATTACAACAATTTAAGGGAGCAACAAAAAAAAAAAAAAAAAAAAGGACAGAAACAGAATCAGAAATAAGATAGAGGATTTAAAAACAATACACTGATACCGGGATTTCTTCATTTCTGAATATAGTCTTCCAGACCAATGTTTCTTTCCTCTAGGCTCGCATTTCTTTTCCAATTTGCTACAGCTCTGTGGACTGTAGCTTTAGCCTCACTGATCTCCTTAGCTGCAAATTTATGTTCTATGATTCCCAATGGTCCAGGCTGCAGCACGTTAATCACAGTCTCCATCTCTTGCTCAAATTGTCTGTGAGAAATAGAAAGAAATCTTGCATAAGGAATGTCAATACCGGAGAATTTCACTAGATGTATAAAATATTATAATCATAATTTTCTTGCAAGGTGCGGTTTACTGTCCCATTTTAACAAAACTGCACCACTTTCTGCAATTTCCTCCTAGAGTTGACATTGAATGAAAGTCTCATAAAGTCGTTGGCCTTGGTTTCAATCAGGCCACCATGTGAAATCAGAAGATAGAAAATGCACAATACAGTATGACCAGGCTCTTGAGGTTCTTGTTGACAGGATTACATGGCCATGAATCCAAATTGCTTATAACAAAGTGATTCTCCTGACTCCGTAAAATGTAGTATTATATTTACTCCTCAATTACAGAAATTGACCAAAGATTAACAGAAAGAACTTCTGCATATTATAAATACAATAAAATAGGCAGTGATGTTATTCAGAGTTACTCCAGCAAATGAGTTGAGGCAATTTATGGACACCCTACGTCCAAATCTCATATAGAAGTTGGGTAAAAAGAAAAATCATTCCATCGATGCTCAATAGGATTGAATTCTCAGTGCCAGTTGGTCCTCTTCCTCTAGCTTGTTGAACCACAATCAATATTAGTTCTCATTTTATACATTTTCTTCATAAAGTAGCTTTGAGTTTTCATTATGTGCATCCCGGTATAAATACGATGATGCGATGAACCACGTTACCCTCAGAATTCAGAGAGCAGTCAGAGATAAGAGTAGGAGACAATCCTAATTAGAGTGGATATTTACAATGTCAGTCGCATATACACACAAATGAGTGAGTTTGCAAGGTAAGGATTATGTCAAGTGATCTTCCAAAATGGCTTCAACAACCAAAATTATCAAAATGCCACCGATTAGCGAAGAAAATTGACCAGCCAAACAGCTATCTTTCAGATAGTTAGAATGCGTTTTTTAAGTATCGAGATAGATGAAGAAGGAAGAAATCAAAATTGGAAGAATCCCAAAGATGATAGACGAACAGAAATCAGTGTTGGCACCTGATTAACCCTGAAAGGGGCAAGGAACTTCGAAACCCTGCTAAGGATACTCGCATTCCCGTACACTTTTGTTCACGCAGACACTGCAAAATTTAAGCCAGATGAATTGTGATTGACGCAAAACTCAGAAGAATCGCCATGAAAAACAAGAAGAAGAAGGTGGAGAAACTGAATCTCCAAAACCTCGATGGAAATTAAGAGAGGAGGGACTGGGTAAATGTCGAGCAAATTGGAAAGTGGACGACAAGCAGACTGCAGTGGTCGAGGGGAGAGTGGCCCGTGCCGCAGTGGAGATTGGAGAAAGAAGCTTCGACCTTCGACCTCAAGAGGCGAGAAGGGAGGCAGCGGAGACGGAGGGCGACCTTTTTTTTTTTTAACGGGGGCAAAGCCCGTAATAAGACATGAGAAAAGACTAGGGCCGATCCAATCCCAAGAACCATGTCCACCTATCGAAGAAGGATGATTTAAGTAATCTTCATTTGCTAAAGAATATCAGCAAGACAATTTTGGTTTCCTATAGCAAGGTTGCTTGAGCATCTAGTTAGAAGTTTGATCCCTAAAAGTATATATGAAAAGAGTTTTGTAGCCAATACTAAAGCCTCTTTATGAAGTCTACAGTGTAAGGAGATTAGTCACTGCTACTGACAGTGGATATCTTGGGTTCAATTGAAAAATGTTGGGTCTCTTAAAATGTGTTGTAATTAAGCTACATATACTAGTCTAAACCCCTCTTGCTTGGGTGAAAATGAATGTGATGGTTGTGGTGGGGTCATAAAAGATTATAATATTTGAGTTCACTCATGTATTAGGAGGTTGAATCAAGAAGGAAAAACGCTAAAACATATAAATGGAGAAGAAACCAAGAACAGTAGAATCAAGAAACAGATCTCTTTCCAATTTTATACTTTGAGTTGATTCTTAATTTCTGATATACAACGAAAAGATGAAGTGTCATTGAAATTTAAAATTCAAAATGTTCAACCTATAAAGTAATGCCCCACCAAAGTACACTCCCTTTCTATTATGATTTAGATTGGGTCAACTTCATACAAATTACTATCTCTGGTTCTAATTATAAGACTTTGTTTATAGGTATTTGCCTATCAAAATTTCATTTGTATACACGGATGAGGTCTTATAACGAGGATCGGAGGTAGTATAAGATTAGCAAGCAGCCCAAACCGCTCCCTCTCAACTCTTTGACGTCTTATAAAGGGATTTTGATGAAGTTTTTGATAAGCAAATGCTCGTTTAATCGAGCATCCACCCTCATAATCTAATCAAAATGTACTCTGAAACTAATGATTGGAAGTTGGAAAATAACGACAATGACACTACGCTACGGACACATACATACTATACAATATGTAAATATGGCATATTATAGATTACAAATTATTAGCCAAGTGTTATATGATCATGAAACTGAATAACGCCTACGCCTTGGAAAAGGGAAGCGACCATCAGAACCAACTCTACCTCGAATGGACCTAATGCTATTAATCCGAAACAGAGAATTAAGCTTACTGAGTTTATTGGTGAAAGATTTAAAGAGCTTGTTGGCAGGATTAGACCTCACAAACTCTTGCTTCATATGAAAGTGATCTTTCTCCAAATCAGTGAGCCTCATTCTCATTCTTGCAACTTCTAGTTTCAGTTCTCTGTTCTCTCTTCTCACTGATGCATAGTTATCTCTTGGAGATATGGCCCCACTTCCTGCACCACTTCCTGAACGCTGAGGAAACTGATGATGCAGTCCACCAAAGAACATGTGGCTGTGCCCACCACCACCCATAGCATTCCGAAGTCTTATTTGCTCAAAGTACAGAACTTGAACCATCATTTGTACTGGCAGCCTTTCATTTTGTGCTGCGTGGCTTCCTGCTTCTTCACTCAACTTCTGACAATCTATGGTCTTGCACAGCCTGTGTCTCTCTGAATCCTTCATGTTTGGATGAACCTAATATAACCAAACCCAAATGAACATATAGCTTGGGGACTATTTGAAATACAATATTATTGTTAGCTCTTACAGTTTGATCAAATTTTGATTTTGGTTCTTAAAATTCGATCAGACTGTACAGATTAACAACAGTATTAACTCTAATCATTAAGTGAAATTATGGTGATTCATCTTACCTTAAGGAAGATATCAACAGCTCTGTAGAGTCCATCACTTACAATACGTGCATGATCTGGAAGTAATTCTGCTAATGCTATGAATTTTGATGGCAAAATGCTTGGGTCAAGTGCTACCTCAGAAAGAAAACTATCCATCAACTTGGATACCTTGAGAATTGAGCTTTGTTTTGGAGATCCAGGACTGTCAAAATCATACACCATTTCACTTTCATCTCGCAAGTCACTGTCTTCATTGTCATCCTCGTCCAAGTTCAGAAAAATAGAGAAGATCCTCAATATCGAATCTATGTCATAAATTGTACCATGAAGATTTTGATGTGAATTTGACGGGATCAAGATGTCTTCAAGAATTGCCTGATCAAGTTGTAGACCAATTCTTCTTTCCAAATCAGATCTGGTAGAAATAGATACTGACAATTCTATTGCAGCTTTCAACAAACTTGAAAGAAATGCCATTGGAACTTGGCTTTTCCTTGACTGAGTAGGAAGTAAGCTAACTATGGCTTCAATAATAACCCTTTGCTTCTTCTGCAATTCTAAATCCTGGGAACTTCCTTTAACACCTTGAGAATCCATAAAAACAATACCCTGCAGGGAATTATGTGCATAGCTTATCAGAATTTTGCTAATCATGTCTTGTTTAAGTCCTTTAGACTTCACTGCAGAAACAACTCGTTGGAAGAAATTAAGACTGAGAATATTGAGACTGTTTCCCCACCAATCTGAGGGAGTTTCTGGTTCCAAGTTTGACATTGTCTTGGAAGGGAAATTATGGTCAAGTTTAAGCAAACCAGAGGTAAGTTGCTCTTTGCATGCATTATTTGCAATTGCATTGATGAGTCTGGTAACAAGGTTTATTTCTTCTGACATGGGAAGAAGAGTTTCACAGCAATGAAGAACAGTTATCGTGTTTGGTATACTGGGAAGCACCGTGTCCTTCATATATGTTTCAACTTGGCTTTCCAAGTTTTTCTCGGAAAATTCTTCTGTCATTTCCAGAAAATAGGCTAAGCAGCGAAGCATGGCAATATTTGAGAGGGTGAACTCAACATTGATTCCATAACAGAATTTGGCAGCTAGCTCAAATGCCGTAGCCCCACCTGGTATAGCTGCAAGACTTATGCGCGAGACTTTTGAATCTTTGACTTCTGACAGTAGTTTCCGAATTCTTCCACTCCGAGAAACAAGAGGAAACTATAACAAAAAAATGCAACCAAATCACTGAAGTTCACTACAAAAATCTCTTTTGTTTTGATTTATGGATCCCATAGCATATGGTACCTCATTCAATCCATTCAGTCTTTCTGTTTTTCACAAATGACCAGAGATTATTAATGAAAAAAGTGTTCAGATTCAATCTTGTCTCGAAAGATTTCGTGTAGAAACTGAGTATAAAGAAGTTTTTGTTGGGAGTGTTAAATAGGGGGCCTTCATTCAGTACTCATCATTATAATACAATCTAAACCATTCAAAATCTAATATGAACGGTTCAGATTAAAATTTTTAATATACAATTTTGTCAATGATAAATTTATTTTTTAAAGATATGCTATAAAAAATTTAAATTTAATCTGAACCATCTAAAATCAATCAGAATAGTCCAAATTACGATGAGCACTTCATACTCATAATTGTGATGAGCATGGAATGTGCTCCTGTTAAAAAAGAAGCAAAATCACCCTCACCATTTTAAAACCAACGTTCATCATTACTAATGGTTAGGAGCGATACTGTTTCTTTTTCAATACTTTCAGGACAATTTTGATGTGATAAAAACTTTCAGATACTCACAAGTATTATGCAAAAACTTTCAGAACCTTAACCATTAAAAAAAAAAAATGTAGGATGGATCATTATGTTCATAATTCCCATCAGTTGCTGTTACTAATGAGTCCTAGCTAAGCTTGAAAATCCATTGCAATAAAAGGAAAAAAAAAAACTGAATATGAAGCAAGCTATGAGAATGATGGTTTTTTCCGTTTTACCTTGTGAAGTGCAAAGCTCGATGCTCCAACTTCGATGGTAAGGTCACTAGTAACATCTGATATTGGCCTGTAATAAACAATTGTGATCGAATCATTTTTTTAAAAAAAAAACAGGTAGGAATATTATATGATAATTCTGGCCTTTGTATGAGCCTCTTCAAGGGCAAACTATTGTTCAATCCACCTTGAATATCACAAATCAAAGATGAAGTAATTTTTCAGGACAATAACGGCCTCAACTAGGAAATTAAAAAACAGAATGGGATCCTAAAGCAGAAATTATAGAAATGTAGCAACATGATTCCAGAGTAAAATCAAATACTACCTCCGGTCCTAATTATAAAATCTCGTTTATACTATAAACGAGTTATCATAATTAGGATTAGGAGTAGTACTAACTCCGATCCTAAATACTCTCCGGTCCTAATTATAAGACCCAATTGACTTATTTGAGGAGATTAAGGAAGTAAGTTAAGTTGGTTATTTATAATAATAAGTGTTATCATTCCTAAAATATCCTTGCTAATTAAGTATATTGGCTAAAACTATCATTATTAGAAGGATTATCTTGAAAAAAATACATAAATATAAGAGACAAAATGGATTGGGATCTTATAATTAGGACCAAATAAAAAGTCAAATGGAGTCTTATAATAAGGACCGGAGGAGTATATGATCTAGTTTATAATTCAAATAGTATTCAGACACTGATCATACCATTACAGTGGAACACTTCATTTCAACCCAAAATGACAACTACAGATAAAAGAGGAAACCATAAGGTCACTCTGGCTTTGTCAAGTTGATTTTGTGGATGTTCTGCCCATGCGAGGCCACAAGGCTTTTTTTGGCAGAGGAAGAACTCATTTTACGGCTCTATAGTCTGTACTTATTTAAGGACTAATTTTCGTAAAAAGCACAAGAATGTAAATATATATACATACAGTATGAATTATAAAAACAAAAGAAGAACTTATTAACAAAAAAAACTTAAATGAGAAATTATGGCGTCTGTTCCAAGAAAAAATGGATGCAATAATTCAAATGTACTAATAATTACAAAAAAAATAAAAGTTGAAGTATAAAAATATAAAAAAATTTAAAATTGCATGAATTAAAAAATTAAAAGGCAAAAAAAGTAATTATGGCGTCTGTTCCGTGGAGGAGCAGACACAACATGACAATAATAGTAACATATGAATTAAAGAACAATTTAAAATCATTTCAAATAATTATGGCGCGCCGTCCTTTTGTTGAACTGCCCGTCTGATAAACACGCGCAAAAATATTCTGAACCCATTACTGCTACTGTTCCATATAAAACTAACGCCAAAATAAGTCCTTAAATTAATAATCCCCTGCGTAATATAAGAATTAATTAAAGATTAAATTTAATTCTAAATATAAAACTTTTATCCTCTTTGTGTGTCAAGTTTATAATACTTCCTCTAAATATTCCTATTGATTAGAAGAGCAATTCTAATATACATATCCAAGAGGGCAGTTTAAAGGAATCCACATAGATTTGTTACAATTAATTGATTAAACTAATTTTTTTAATATTTTTAAATTAGTTATTTAATTTTATATTAAAGACGGAGTAGTAATTTGTACCAGTGATGATATAGATCTAGCTATTAGCAAAATCTCAGCGTTTTTGCCACAGATTTGGCTGATCCATATGCCTAAATAAAAGGGAAATTTTGCGACATTGTTTGGCAAATCTGAATGCATTCTTCGTGGAAGGACTGAGAAAGAGTACATCACCAATGAGATTCCAAAAACAAGCAAAATGGATAGACAATGGAAATTGGAAAGGTCTTGTTGGGTTTTCTTTCACCATGAGATTGACCAGATAGAAGAACACTGCTAAACTTAATCTGATAAAATTCAAACTCTACTTTAAGGTCAATTGAAAAGAAAAGGACTGTCCATGGAGGCAAGAAAAAGGACTGTAGATCAATTTCTCTAGGGAGAAAGGAAATAGATTGAACCTTCTTCTTCTTCTACTTTTCATTTACCTGAATCCTCATTGCAACTTTTATATTGCTAGATTTTTTTTAGAAAAAAAGAGAAGCTAACACACTGCATCTAAATCTGCACTAATCGACATGTTAAAATTCAACGATCAACACAAAGATGACACTAAAAACAGCATCATATATATACTTACCATTCAGTGGCATGCCTTATGCTTGAACTTGTCCGAAAAGATCTCTTCCCAGATATACTGGTCTTCAATTCACCCACAGTAACAACTCCCATCTGCATATATAAACCTTTCCAAAATCCCAATGTGCTTGCAGTGATTTGTCTCTGCTAATAACGACTCATTCCATTCCAGTTTAATCAAAAGTAGGATGGTAATTATTTAGAATCGTCATCTTCCTCCGAGGGATTTTGAGGATTCTCCTTCTAGCCTCTTCTTTCTTGTTTGTGCATGAAATCAAAAACTTGCAGTGAAGCAAAAAGTCAAAATGAACGCATGCTCGCCTGGGCTGAAGGTTGGAGGTGATGACTCAAACAGACTTTAAGGGTTAGTGCTTATTATAATGAATACTTAATCTATAAAGTCAAGGCAAACTTGAATACGGTTCCACTTTTCGGTGAAAGGTAAAGACTTTGTGTGGCCTTTTTATTTCCTTTTCTCTTATTTCCTGCACCCATGTTTTTGTTTTAAAAATTTGGAGGGATTCTCAAAGTGTCATAGTACTTTCTGAGATTGTAATAGATTATAATGAATAAAAAGATATTATATTATATATTGACTCTGTGTGAAAAGATATATAAGTGCCGTTAATGATGATGTTCAGCAAAATTTTATGGGCTGTGGGGACGAACACTAATTAGTTCCTTCCCCACACTGCCTGCAGGATTAATCTATTAATCTCTATGCTTATGGTTGTTCATGATTTGCAGGCAAAAATCATGGGTCGCATGAGGTTTGTAGCTTGGGATGCCTGATCAGTCCTATCAATACATAAGCATGCTTGTAATAAATCAGAGTTTAATTTCCCAGTTTTAATGATGATTAAGTACCACTCATGTCAGGTGAAAAACTCTACAATAAGCTTTTAAGGTTGATTCTAAAATTCTTTTTAGGCAGCAATACTGATCATTGAAATAATCTTATTATGTCCTGACTCCTACATCGGGAAGGTTACCAATAAATATTTTATAAGTATTGGCAAAAAAAAAAAAAAGGTTTTATAAGGTTCTGGACTCCTCAACTCTAATGACTAGTTTTTAGGACGTGACCCTCTAAGGAATTAGCATTCGTGAAACATTAACACAATAAATGACGATACAATAAGTTAAGGTTTGTTTAAGATGACTTATAAACAGTTTTTTAACTGTGATTTACAGAGTATGAGGTAAGGACGTGAGAAAATTTTATCTCAATTTATGTAAAACATGCTTATAAGCCAATCCAAACCGTGTTTTAAAGTCTTTCATAAGAAACGGTTTCTTGGGGGTGTGGCAACCAAAAGTTAAGGCAAATGATGGGAATTGTTTAGGACAAACACAAGATAGAGACAAAAATTGAGGCCCCTTGTCATTATAATTAATGATTATTCTTCCTGCAGAAATTATGAACTTTTATTTCTCTTGTCTCTGCGGAGTCAGACAAAGCGTGCTCTTGGTCCTAAATGAGCAATGGTTATGCTGAAACAGAATGGGCCCTTCCTTCCTTCACAAGACAACAACTGAAGATTTATGCTCCCTTGCTGATTCAAAATAACTGGGTGAGAGTTAAATTTACTTTTAAATATAAGATTTCAATCCATTCTGTGTTTATATTTATTATTGTTCTCCAAGTTAATTTACTTATAAATTATATATAACCTAATATTACATTATGCAAGTATTTTAGTTAGATTATATCTTATTTATTATAATTAATAATTTATTTTATTTTCTTAATTATACAAATTAATTAAATAGTTGTTATATCAATAACCTAAACAATATTGCACTAGTACTTATGGTTTAAGAAAGTTTGGACGTTGGTTTAATGAGTCAATGTCAGCATGAGATATCAAGTGTATTTATATTAGTAAAAAGATTCCAAATCTCGTTGGAGATTGCTTTCTCATATAAACCACAGTACTAGTTGACCCACTTCAACACAATGCTGCCACCACATGAGCAATGAACAGAGGACCAGTTGAGATGGAGGTTGACTAACACTGGCGAGTTTTTCTACAGCAAGCACGTAAGCTTGGCTCCATGGACTCCATGGATCTACTAATATCCATGCCATATTGCAAAAATTTTCAGCAAAAATATTATAAACAGAGAGTGTTGCTAATATTGAATTTTCCATTGGATAACAAAAGTGTAGCTGAAGAAATTTGAGAATGATATCTACACAACAGTGAGAAAGATACGTGAATGGCACTAGGAGACTGTACCGACAAAAAAAGGGATGAGATATTACATCAGTCATCATCATATGAGACATGAAAGTTGGCAGTGCAGCCAGATGCCTCTGGATCCTCAGCACCACAACAGTCATAAAACTTGGCTGCATACGGCGGGTCATTCGGCCCCAGTTCATAGTACCTTCACAAATAAGAAAGAAAAAGGCCAACATGACGAAGCTCATAACCACCTACAATGGCAATGGCCATGCTAATTCTTTCATGTTCTGATTTTTCTTTTTACTCACAAGATTGGAATTCAAATTTAAATTCAAGATCTTCCTCAACAAGAAAATCCGACCCCTTCCTATTTGGACCAGCAGAGCAGCCAAAGTGGTCGGTGGTCATATATTCATGAAAGAGGACAATCTCACCGTATCTAATAGGCAGCAGGCTTGCCCTGTAGCTTCTGGAGTATCAAGAATGTCTAAATCTAAGACATCTTATCCGGTATAATAAAATCTTAAGATCCCTCTAATTACATATTATAAATTTTTACTCATCGAGTTAGACGTTTTTAGTTGAGATATGGGCAGATGTATGAAGCCACTGGGAAGCATAAATCAGCATATAATTTAAGGCATTACAGATAATCCCTGCATTTGCAGGGGGCAAATAAGCCAGCATGATGAAAACCAGAAGAACTATTTTTCATAAAATGTCACTATTGCTACTCGATGGTGTCTCAAATTCATACAGAATTCAGTACAGAACAATAAGATACTGTAACAAAGACCAGAAATATCATTGGAAAATTAAAAACTCAGGGAACACTTTTCAGTTCCCTTCTAAATTTTCAAATTAGGAAGGAAAACAGAAAACAATGAGATAGCAACAAATCTACATTACTCATAATCATCAATGAACATTGCTATTTTCCTTAGTGTCAGTTTTTAGTTCTTGCACATGAACATTGCTGAATTAGGGGGTTTTATTCGGTTTCATTTTGCGCGTCACTAACTTTCTCTGGAAATAGTAGAGGGTTACATCATAATGAAACATTACACAAACTCAGAAGGAATGCATTTAACATGATCTGGACTCCAAATCATGAGATATATGATCGCCAACACTGATGTATAAATTTACTAATTTACTAATACCATGACTACATGAACCAAAATGCCATGGACTGTGACCGTAATATACTGTGCATTCCTCAAAATTAGCATTCTGAATCTAGGAGGTTAAGGTATTGTTGTCTTGTTTCCTCACACAGATATGCACAACAGGGGGGGGGGAATTCGAACGGATAGAAAGCAAAAAATTATAAGGAAATAAAACCGAAAACCAACTACAAAATCCGGTAAATACCCCACACGGATTAAGACTTTTTTAATTGAAAGCACATGATGCTCTTACAATTCTCACATGGTATTGAATCTAGTTTTCCCCCCTAATAATAGCAAAATTCATACTTCAAACGAGTGGCAGATGACACGAATGGAAACAATTGCCGGAAGATATGCATTGGAAAGAACAGGGGATAAGGGGACTTCATCACATGATATGAACTCCAAGATTTCATTTCACAAAGAACTTGAGTTATCATCCAATCACATGTGAGTTGTTGAATCAATAAACTACTATGGAAGGTACCTCTTTTGATCGTTGTGACGGCGGCAAACGAAGAAGGAAGGGTGGAATCGGCAAGGAAGTGGGATCCTAAGATTGACTGCGGGGCTGTTTGGTGGAATAGTTTCAAAAGTAATTTTAAAAGAATTTATCTGGATTTACGAAAAATGTGTTTTGCCAAAATGCAAAGCTTCTACTAATATTAGGCTTGTTTAGATTGACCTATAAGTAACTTTTCAAATGTGGTTTACGGAATACGAGACAAGTATATAAGAAAAGTTTTGTCTCAGTTTATGTAAACTTGCTTAAAAGTCCGTTTTGAGCAGAGCTCCAAACAAGTCCATTGCTTTCCCAACTCCTCTCCATCTTCCAGGCCCAACACTCATCACTCTCCGCAGTAGAAAACCAAATTCTCTTCGACCAAAAAAAGAATCAGCAAATTCTCAGTTTGATTTTGTTTTATTGACCAAAACATGAAAAATTTTGTAGTTAAAAAAAATGCAAATATATACTACCTCTTATTCTAAATATAAGACAATATATAGTGTAAAAATGCAAATGACATTATAAACTAAATCTTATACCTATAATTAGAATTTATAATCAGAAGTAATATAATATAGGGTACAAATATATTCAATGCATGATCTTATTCTTCAAGTATATCTAATACCTTGATTTATATAACACATTCAGTCCTATCATTTTTTTTGGGTACATCAGCATTTTAATCTAATCTTATATTGCATTACCAATTGGCAAAGTTTTACGAATTCTTTACATAAGATTATAACTATTTCTTAACTAATATTTTTTGCTCATGTGAGATAATTAAACTGGGCTTGTATTACAATTTGCATCGTATTTGCTTAAATATTTGATACTTTTTGCAGTGTCGATAACTTATAATCATGCAACTTAGGCAGGCCAAAAAAATCGTCCAACTTGGAACTCTTTTCCTTTTGCCATATTTGAATACGATTTTCATCTGGCATCCCTCCCACGTCGTATCCCTGATCATCTATGGATCTTGAACAGTTATGGTTTAAACTCTTGCTGCCTCCTTTTTTGAGACAAAAATTGATAAAAAGTAGTTATCTGAAGCATGTCACTGAAAAAAAAAAAAAATGCTTACAATAGATTGCAGCCCCTACCCTTAAGATGATAGCCTTAAGATCATTTTCAATTTGACCGGGTGCTAAGTCTAGTCATATATTTTTATTCGGACTCTCTTTTATTACTATCTGCCTATCTTTAAACCACCCAAATTTAACTACTTCTTTAACACAGTCTCTCAATCGAATGCCTTCAAAGTAAAGAATTGAACTTCCCCCAATATTTAGTAACTAGTATGAAAATGAGAACAAAATCTAAAAATAAAATATATTGCAGGTAGTTCATTTACGTTTTCCCTCTAGGAGTTTGGCGTGATGCTATTAAACCTCACCCCACCATACATGGAGTTTGAAGTAAGGAATTTTGTATTATTTATGAATGACGACTTGCCTCCCCGTAGACTCTACAAATTGTTATAATCATTGCATGCAACAGAATGTTTATGACTTGCTATATCAACATACTCACATGCATTTCTTAATTCTCATAATCTTTTCCATGGAAGATATTTCAAACTTGACTTTCCCTACGCTATCTACATGTCATTGGGCAAAAAGAACATGCACACAGTGGAATAATCCAAAAAGGCAGCAATGAATCATCAGAAATCTTCCATATCCACAATGCCTTCATCACATTCTTCTGATGTGTCGTCTTTCCTTCTAGACATTATGTTCATGAAGGTCTTTGTGGCACGGCCAACTGCTCTGGAGGTCTTTCTTGCAGCTCCAGCAACAACCGGTTGCAAGGATATTTTAGGCAAGCTCGCTCTCTCTTCAATCATGGCTGATTCATATAAAACTATCATCAGATTCTCTTAAGTACTAAAGTGTGTGTGGGGTACTAAATTGATAACATTATCATTCCATGACATTAATCATGATAATAATAAAAATAACGGTCTTCAAATGAATAAAGACAAATAATTTGTAAGTTACAATTCAAAATTATATAAATAATAGCTGAAAATGCAAAAGGGGGGGGGTAGACCAGATCCACTAGTTGGAGTACTTGGTCACTTGTCAAGTCTAGCCTGATAAGACCATTCTGGTCTGGTCCTCTCTGGCTTCAAGCTAGTTTTTTGGGGAATAGATCAGGTCAGGTTTGCTCGGGTCAGATGGAGTCATACTGGACTGCTGAGTTTTTGGACACCCCTATTTGTAATACATAGAGGATAAGGGCATAAAATTTTCATATTTGCGCCTCTCATAGTAAAAGGGAGATAAAAAGTGAAGTTACTGCACTGTAACATAGTTGCCCATCCATCCTTGTGATGTAATGAATACTGAAATTCTTGCATAAAAATATTTTTTTCCTTCTTTCTTCTGGGGGGGTGGGGGTGGGGGTTTTGTGGGGGAGGGGAAGCATCCCAGAGACTGCAAGTTTAGCTTCTGCTACGAAACTCATCGCAGACATGATGCTTCTTTGGCTTCTGAAGAAAGATTTAACATGCTAAAGGAAAACAGACATTCTGACAGACCATTCCTACTCGTTTCATTGCGCTTTTTTCATGCGTGTGCATGAGTAGAAGAGCCGCTATATGCTGTAACTAAAAGCAATCAATAAACCAAGAATTAAATTAAATGGTGTGAGAGAGGGAGAGATAGAGAACAAAAGGAATTCCAATAAACACATCACACGTACAAATGGTTTGCTTGCGAGCTGCAGAACCAATCTGTCGAATTCCAGCTTCAGCTGCTTGCAAAGCCTGAGTTGACTTGCTAACCCCATCAGCAATCTCCTGGCTGAGTTCCGAAAAAATTATTTCAGATTTATGCAACACGTAGTTAGACCATGACTTCGAAAACAATCCCAGATGAATAGAAATGAGCATCAACATTATTTTAATCTCAGTTCCCCACATTCAAAATTCAAAAATCCATGCTCAACCTTCTAATGTTATTATGTAAGTCTTCAAATTTTAATAGAGCCTTGTACCAATGGGGGAAGTAAGCAAGCACCTAGCACAAGCATACTGCGTTAAGCTTTTAACTTTTCCTGATTTATCTTCTCCATAGTTTGTCAACATGTTCCTATTGTTGTTAGGTATTATTTGGCTTGATTTTTTAATAAGCTGGTGAAATTGATTGGAAGATTAGTTCCCTTCTCCAATCTGTATGCGTGCCTTCTCCCTTATCATGAAATCAAGAAATAAGAATTCTCATCAATCAACATTTATTCACGGTCGATTCTAATGTATCCGTCATTAGCAAGGTGTTCTCTTTACTTTTTGGGTTCACACCACTGTGCATCCTTTGCCAATTTAATAAATGTGGCAGCATCCGTTGTACAGATTTAACACACTATACATGTAACACCGGGGAAAAAAAATTATATATGTGAAAAAGGCATTAAAAGTTTCATGCTAACAGCCCAATCAACCAAATACAAGGTTGTCAAGATCTTCATTTAAATATTAAGATCATACATTCCCACATATACCCAACAATCCTGATTCCATGGCTACATAACACCTAAAAGTATCAAAAGCTATAAACCAGTAGACCATGAGATTGTCTCATTTCTTACTGTTATCATTTTACTACATAATGCCAAAACCTTCAGTTAACTGTTGCAGTATTACTCCTGATAGTGCAGAAAAGTGCCAGGGGAAAAATTTCCACCATCAGCACATTAATAATTGATGGCGCCAAAGGGTTTTCCCCAGCAATTTTGGTAAAAAAGTTCACTTCTGCATATCAATTACGACTCCATCCACAGCTTGTCAAATATAAGATTTGGACTGATAATTAGACACCATTCATGACTGTGAATTCCCTATAGCCATATTAGAAGCCAAATTTTGGAAATAATTAATAAAAGGAATGGAAAATAAGAAAAGGGAACAATTCAGAGAAATTTATTTTTACCTTAGATCACTTAGCTCTAGTGTAAGATCACTGATTTCCATGCCTGAAAGCCTTACAGCAGCCATGGTACTAGGGAGTTCCTCACGAGCTGTATCTGCTAGCTTTGAAAGAGATATTGCAGCATTTCTCATTGCCTAACAAAGATTTAGATATGTAAATATGAAGTAATCAGAATCTAATTATGAATAACAATTGAAATATTATGATGAATATAAGGATGGCACGTAGCATGTGCAGGCCTCAGAACACGCAATGAATCAAAACATCATATGCAACACAAATAATAAATTAAATAATGACTTAAAGTTCCATGGTTATAGAAAAAATAGCAATAGAATGAGGGCATATGCAAGTAAAATTCTTATATGGTTAAACAGCAGAGCAAGATCACAAAGAAGAGTAGTAACAGCCTTAAGGCAGTAAATGGGATGCTAGAAACTCCAGTGAAAGTAAAATGGCCTCCACAAAGCCTAGAAAATGATAAATAAATAATGGAGATATTCACAGGAATGAATATTACACAAACAGAAATCAGAGGTACACCATTAGACATGACACTATGTTTGAAATATTTCTAAGAGTGCATATGTAAAGAGCAGATTCTATGATTGTCAGTTTTACATATAACAGACACAACATCTACAGAAACAAAAATGCCTCACGGAAAAGTTTGATGTCTATGTCTCCAATAGTTCAATGCAGCATAACCAGTTGTACTTGGACAAGTAGTTTCTCAGACTTAGAGTAGATGTGCATCCTAGTATGTTATTATATGATCAAGGCACAGAACTTGGATAATATTATTATGCAACAAAAGCTTAAATCTAGGACAGTTATAGGTGGGGGCAAGAGATGAGATCAGGCCACATATAGATATATAGTTCTTAAGACATAAAACTCATCTACATTCCCCTAGATCATGTCCTCACCTGTAAATATTTTTGAAACAAACAGGTTTACATTTCACTTCATTCACAGATTTATTTAAGCAAAAAATGGGTCTGCCAGTGTGAGCTGAAGCTTGAATCAAAGCTACTTTCTCATTCCTTTCCTTTGAGGCTGATTAAAAGGATGTCTAGATGTTTGGCTGTCACTTTATTGCTAGGAAAAAGCAGATTAAGGGCATTGATGCAACTGAAGGAAGCAACTGGAACAAATAGTGTCGATCTATTGTTACCCTAGCTTTCAGAATAACACTTGATGTTTTTGGACCTTCAAAACCAGTCTCAATACGCAGATGCAAAATTCTCTATTTCAAAATTACAAAGACTAAGACTTAATTAGAGAAACTGAGTATAGTTTGAATTTAGGGATCACAGCCCACTCATTTTTCTCTGGACTTTTTGGCTGGAGAGAAAAGCTTGAGTTTTCAACAGAGTTTCACTCAGTTTAGTTGTCATTCAATAGGGTAGTCTTATGGCTGTAATTCAGTGTTCAGCTCATGATCCCCACTTTGGCATTTGGACGAGTTTCTGGGTTTAGTTAGTATGAGCAGGCCCAATTAATTAGTTAGTCGAATTTGGGAAAATTTTTCAAATTCGATCCTATTGATTGAAGAACAGGGTTCTCCCCTACAAAACCTCAGATCTGATGCAACGGTCAAGCCCATCAAGCTGGCATTATTTTCTTTCATTTTGCATCTTTTAAGACACACGGGGTGCCTCTATTGGGTTATAATTTCTACATATTTTATGCATTATAAAAGAAAGGGCGGAAAATAGGATAGATGTAAGCAGGAACTGAATTTAAAAAGCGCAATATCATACGATAGTAAAGATTTAAAGCATCTGCAGCTATAACTATAATAAATAGACGTAAGAACGAACAATCAACAGGAAATAAATCTGAAATACAGAAGTCAGATGAGATCATCAAATATAAGCATTGCGATCGTCAACTTACAAATAGCGTGGGAACAGCAGCAACAACTAGGCTGGCGAATGCCACTGACGTCTGCATATGTGAAATTCAAGATACTAACCCAGAATGAGAGCCAGAAAAGATATAATTCCAAGGTAAAGAATACAGGGACTTCCCACAGACAATTCAATTAAAAAATTAACTGCTTAATCTGTTTCGTGCTAGCATACCAGGTTTATTGCAAATTTTGATTTATTAACATTACCATGTTCCTTCTACGAACATTGACATGATAATACAACATCAAATAGTAAGTAATTAAAATTTATTTTTTAAACAAAGGGCAAAGAAGCCTTTAGAAAACTCATTAACTCTAACTTACAGTCGCTACTACCATTACTGAAAAAATAGGAGGGAATGATGGTCATACCGCGCATGCAATGAATGCCAGGAGAAAGAAAGCTTTATCACTCAAACTTAAATTGGGCATGGGAGTAACAAAGGAAGGGATTCTTGGGCTCTCAACTGCACTATGAAATCTATCATTCGCAACGACTGCTTCAGTCGAATCCCCCTCAACTGCTTCAGTCCGAGAATCTGACGGTTGCCCAGAAGGCGAGGAGCAATACGTAATAAAGAGGGATGACCTGCGCTGAGAATTCGAGAAAAGTGAGCGGCGGACGTTGGATTTTGGCAGCAAGAAATTCAAAGTGTTGTTGGTAGGGTGTGGGAAGCCATGAATTGGCGATGCTGCAACACAGAGATGGGTAGGATGCGAAGTTATGATTAAAGATCTCATAGCGGATCAAGAAATGAGACCCTAACAACGAGAATCAGAAACGATGCATTAGAAATAGAAACATCGAATTCAGTAGAGGAAGGCACAGAGCGGGAGTGTAAAATTGAACAGCGCTGGCTGTGGTGTGTTGCAGATAGGCATCGGGGCGTTAACTTCGGAGTCCTCTCTTCTTTTTTTGTTATCTTTTTGGGGACTTTGAACAGTTGTTAGTAGTCACTTGGAGGAGGTTGTGGGCTTTGTGGCCATCCACAAGCACTATAATCCATTCCTTCTGTATCAAGAAAATTTGCCGCCTGGAAAAAAAAAAAAAAAAAGGGTACCCTTTGCCCAGGTGCCCTTATTCATTCTGACTGATTTTTTTAACCAAAATTTATTGTATAACTAAATATTCTTGGGAGAATGACAAAAAAAAAAAGAAGCTAAAATTACAAATCCCAAATCAGGTTTGGTTACACAATTTTATTTGGTATTGATAAGTTTAAATTTGCAAATAGCAATAAATTTTTGTTAACATTCTTTATTTGGCATTTACAAAATTCCACCTTTTTTTTGTCATTGTCCCAATAATTTTTCAGTTAGTTTTGTAGGTCTCCTATTCTAAATATAAAACTTATTTTATAATGTAAATTATATTATGAAATAGATTTTGTATTTAGAACAGGAAGAGTACAAATTACTAAGTTATATAGATAAAAATAAGGGGAAATCACAAATAAAGACCCTCGAATTAGCAAAATCACTCTATGGTCATCTGAATATGCTAAATTACTATGAGGGACCCGGTCTCAAATTGTAATTATGAAATCATGACCAAATTACCAAAATACCCCTCTTTAATTTTCTTTTTAAAAAAGAAAGCCACTGCCTCACCGGAATCCGGCCACCGGTGCCGGAGCTCTGGCACCGGCAGCGGTTTCCGGCGGTCTTCCTTTGTTTTTTTTTTTTGAAACTGTTTTTTTTTTAAACTGGGGGGAAGTGAGGTTGGGGGGATTTGATCCCTCAACCTAATGCTTCCCAAAATAAGGAATGACCATTGAGCCAACAAATTTTGTTAACATTATAATGCAAAAAAAAAATATAGTTAACTCATTTACTCTTGTTCCAGGTGATAACAACAATACATTTGGAAATAACAAGTTTTGATTGTAAAATAACACGTCTGGAATAAAAATTTAACAATATGTTTTTTTTATAACAATAAATTTTGTTGCAGGTAATAACAACAATACATTTAAAAATAACAAGTTCTGATTATAAAATAACAAGTTTGGGATTAAAATTTAATAACACGTTTTTTTTATAACAATACACTTTGTTTCAAGTGATAACAACAATACATTTAAAAATAACAAGTTCTGATTATAAGATAATAAGTCTAGGATTAAAATTTAACAACACGTTTTTTTATAACAATTAATTATTTTATACTTTTAAAAAATAAATTATTATAACTTATAAAAAATATTTTTAATATATTTATTTCTCTAAAAAAATACTTTTTAATCTGTATATCTATACAACTCATTATAAATCAAACTACTTCTTATAAATTATAAAGTATTTATAATAAGGAATTTTTGATTTATTAATCATAGTATAAATTTTATATTATTTCATTCTTTAAATATTAAAAATATTTTTTATATTTAAAGAATAAAATAGTATTTTTAATTATAAATTAGAGATAAATTTCATTTATAAATTTAAGCAGTCAAAAAGTATTTTTAATCCACAATAAATTGTACTATTTATAATTTATAAGAAGTAGTTTGATTTATAATAAGTTGTATAGATATATAGATTAAAAAATTTTTAAAAAAAAATTAAAAAAGTGTGTTGCCATTTTCCCTAAATTTTATTTATAAATTTGAACAATAAAAAAGTATTTTTAATCTATAAAAAATTATACTTCAAGTTCTGATTATAAATTGGAGATAAAAATTATTTTTTAGCAAATTAAATAGATTACAAGTACTTTTTATAAGTTATAAATAATTTATTTTCCAAAAGTATAAAATAATTAATTGTTATAAAAAAAAGGTGCTGTTGAATTTTAATTCCAGACTTGTTATTTTATAATCAGAACTTGTTATTTCCAAATGTATTGTTGTTATCACTTGAAACAAAGTGTGTTGTTATAAAAAAACATGTTGTTAAATTTTAATCCCAGACTTATTATCTTATAATCAGAACTTGTTATTTTTAAATGTATTGTTATCACTTGAAATAAAGTGTGTTGTTATAAAAAAAAACGTGTTGTTAAATTTTAATCCCAAACTTGTTATTTTATAATCAGAACTTGTTATTTTTAAATATATTGTTGTTATTGCCTACAACAAAATTTATTGTTATAAAAAAAACATATTATTAAATTTTTATTCCAGACGTGTTATTTTACAATCAGAACTTGTTATTTCCAAATGTATTGTTGTTATCACCTGGAACAAGAGTAAATGAGTTAACTTATTATTTTTTTTGCATCATAATGTTAATAAAAATTTGTTGGCTCAATGGTCATTCCTTATTTTGGGAAGCATTAGGTTGGGAGATCAAATCCCCCAACCTCACTTCCCCCCAATTTTTTTTAAAAAAAAACAGTTTCAAAAAAAAACAAAGGAAGACCGCTGGAAGCGGCCGCCGGCGCCGGAGCTCCGGCGTCCTGCCGCCGACAGTGGCCAGAAGCGGCCGCCGAAGCTCTGACGCCGGTGGCCGGATTCCGGTGAGGCAGTGGCTTTCTTTTAAAAAAAAAAATTAAAGAGGGGTATTTTGGTAATTTGGCCATGATTTCATAATTATAATTTGAGACCGGGTCCCTCATAGTAATTTAGCATATTCAGGTGACCATAGAGTGATTTTGCTAATTCGAGGGTCTTTATTTGTGATTTCCCCTAAAAATAATAAATATGTTAAAAACAATTTATTTTTAAAAACACTTTTGTTATAGGGAGAAAGAGTGAGTAAAGACCAAAGAGAGGATAATTAAAAAGATTATACTAATAACGTTTCATTTGCTAAAAAATAACAAATACAATTATAAAATTCTAGTCAAATAATTAAAAACTTTAATCACTTTTTATTTGTGTTTAAAGTTAAAATCATTAAAATATTTTGTCACCTCCGTCCCTTAATAAACTATTGATCTTATTCAATTCAATGCTAATGATTTTTTTTTTTTGCTCACACTTCGCCTAACAATAGAAACTTACATACTCATATGTCATCTTATTCATAGAGGACCAAGCTCTTGAAGCCTCTTACTTAAATTGAGACTTAAAAAAAAATACTTGGTATTAGTTAAGTCAAACAAATCTGACAATTAACGAATACTAATCTAGTTTGGATAATGATATGATTGATATAGTATATTTAAATTTCCCTATTAATGTAAGGATTTTATTAGTAAATAATCGGTAAATACATTTATATATTCTTTGTCGAAGTCATCATGACATTTATTTCTGATGTTGATATGCCTCAAAATTCAGCTTATCTAAATTCTTTATTTCATATTAGTATTAAGAAAATGGTTTTCTTTTCCTTAAGGCATATATGTAGTTTAAACGTTTTACTTGCGATGTTTGGCTCAAATGTAAATAGTTTTTTTTCCCTTATAAAATGTAAATGCTTTCTAAGTCATGAAGTTTGTTTTAATTTTGATCAACCTCATAAATCACATTCAACATACCTACATATTTTAGAAAACTTTTTAATAATTACATTACATTTGCTTACGTCGGCATGGAGATAATGATTTTCTCCGTTTTTTTTTTAAGCTCATGATGACATTAAAAAATGTCTTCCTTTTCCCCACAACATTTAATTTAGTCTTCCTACTTGTGAAGTTTGGGCCAATTATTGTTAGCTAATTGAGGCAAAAATGCAATTTAATGCGATTTCTACCTTTTTGTTCAAGAACTATAACAACTGCCCAATAAATTTGATTAGCGCACAGCGTTATGGCCTAAAACACTTTCATCCTTTCTAATTTTCCGTTGATATGTCGCACGTTAAACTAATATGCCCTTGTTTATTACGTCAAAAAAGGTGAGTTAATAGAAGAAGAGCACTTGGGCCCATGCTTATATCTTTATTATAACCAACTTTCCAATCAAACAAAAATATTTCAACTGTTTTTTTTTTTTCACTTCATCATTTGCTTAAATATAAAAGAGTAATATACTTATTTTCCACAGTGTATAAAAATAATTTTTTATTGTTTATTATGATATTATTTACATTTTTTTGATAAATATTTGTGCATGTTATGTTTGAAAATTTAAAATAATCAATTAATATTTATTCATTCAATTTTTATTACATATTTCAATAATTTAAATATTAAAAATGAGTATAATTTTCTTTTGAAAATTTGTTAGTTTGTTATTTACCTTATTTGTGGTGAAATAATCATTTAATGTATATATAATACACCGTTTGTGGGGTCACAAAGAAGAATTAGAAATAAAATTAACTTGTTACATACTCTTTTGGTCTCCTATTTATAAGATGGATAGAGAAGGTTTTTATTGGTCCTATTTATAAATCAATTCATTGAATCTTTAGCATGATTATACTATTTGTCCTTCATTTATTATAATATAGATAGTTATGTTTTCCGAAAAGTATATATATTAGACAATGTTAAAGTTAAAAAGTTATTATATTTTGATCAAGAGTTAATATAATTTAAGATTTTTCTTGATCTATATGAAATATGTTGAAAGTGTCTTATAAAAAAAAGAGGAGTATTTCTATATATTAAACAGGTTTTCTCTCTCATTTGCAAGCTCATGGTTTTTAGGTCATTTCCCCTAATCCTGTCAAAATTCCCCCCCTTAATTAACACCCGACCCATTAGAGATAAGGGGAGAGAATTTTCTGAGCGTTGACTCCGGTTTTACGTAAACTTCCATTAAAACCAATTTGCAAAAGCCTTAGGTCATGAGAGCCTTATGGCGTCGTAGAAAACGGGGAGGAGACTAAATGGAGGATGAGTAATGAAATTATGCCGCTTCTTAACTCAAAATTTTAACGCCAATTTTTTTAAATATGAAACTGTCACATCAACTAAAATTCATTCACATTTGGACATTCTGACATTTACAAGTCATAATAATGTCAATAATTAATTAATTGATCCAATTAATTAAATTTCTTAATAGGGTTAAGTCGCATACATAT